CTTATTGTACTTCGTTTCAGTTACGTATTCTCTTAGAACAGACTTTTGATATCTAAATTTGCCGATTTTATATAATTTTAAAAATAATTTTACAAACTTCAAACACAAATAAAATTGGTTAGAAAAATTATTTTAAAATTCTGTTCCAAGATATTAGTAACTTTTCATGATTATTTTGATAACAAAATCATGTTTCCGATCACGGCTGAGAACAATTGAAATACGAAAGCATGTTTTACGGTCGATTTTTTTTCTACTGTGACGCCCTCTTAAATGATCAACTAGTTTAAAAAAAAGAATATAAAGAAATAATTCTTATTTTTTGAATTATTTGTTATGTTTAAAAAGTAGCATAAAGAAATAATATATATAATATAAAGTCAAAAATATTCATAAATAAAATTGTTCAGAAGCAACTTAAATATAAATAGTTTTGTTAAGGCTTACTATATTCTTATCTAATCAAAAATTGTTTGACACAAAAAAAAATGATTTGACAATTTTTTAATTTATTTTGTCTAAATCATAAGTTAGAACTTCAAACTTCATTAGTGATAAATCTCACCATAAAATTATAAAATTTAATTTAAATGATAGTTTAAATTAAAATTTTTTTTAATAAATTGCATTAATGATTAAATAGAATTTTTAAATGCCATAACAACTATATATCAAAATAGATGACTTGTGTTAAAACATAAGTAAAATTATAACTAATACAATCTGAAAATATAACAAATAACAAATCCCGAATAAACATAAAATACTTAACTTTCAAAACCAAAAATATCATTAGGCACTTCAGTCCATAGCTCAATCATAAATTGTAGATCTTCTTATTAGGTTACATAAAAAGAACGATTTTGTGTTAGTACAGATGGTTTTGCAAATATATAATCATTTGCTAATCGATCTTGCCTAGTTACTTTTCCAGTAACTATATACCCTTTATTTTCTAAGAATGTTCTTACACTATCATCACCTTCTTTTACATGGAAAAATTCTACTGATAAAGTCTATAAACAAAAAATATTAGTCAGTTTTTCTTAAAATACATAATTATACACATAATAGTATATCTTAACTTACTCTTATATCGATCTTATCAAACGGAATAGTTTTTAATACATTTAATTCTGAACCTTCAACATCTAAGCTGAAATAATCTATTACTGATATATTTAATGCTAAAAGATATGTATAGAATGGAAAACATTGCACATTCACCAATGGTAAATCCTTTTTCCCAATATCATTTATTCCTACTAAGTCTTCTACAACCTCATCATATGCTATTCGTCCCATATTACTACGTTGAAGAAAAGAAACCTTAAAATAAAAAAAAATTAAGCATATTATGAAACATCTATTTCAAATTTAAAAAATAAAATAACCATAAATTTCTTAATTACAAAAATAAAACTAATTTGTATGCACTAAATTTCAATAAAGTAAACATCATATATTTATATTCTTTGTTGATGATTCTTAACTTACAATTTCAGGATAAGGATTAATACTAAGACAAGTAGGTGATAAATATGCTCTACGTCCTTTTTTTAACATTTTTACAAAATTTAAAGGATCTGCTTCTATGAGTAGTCCCATCCATCCAAAATAACGTTCAAAGTATAAAGTATTAGATCTTGTTTCACCATCCAAAGCTCCACATTCAATAAAAAATCCTCCTTTCTAAAACAAAAATACATTAACAATTACTTTAAATTTAAGAATTAAATTATAAAATATTATATAAAATAATAAATTATTATATATTATTTATTTACTGTATAATCAATGATCTTGGCTATTTCAGCAGCTTGTCCCATTGAAGGATCTTCTAACGACATATCAATTAAATTATAACGATTTCTATAGCCTTTATTTTCTTCAATAGGTTTGATAAGGAAATGGTCTCTCAATTTTTTTACAAGATTTGAGTCATCCATGGATACCTTTGGACCATTCAAACCACTATCTAAAAGTATTAAAACTGTGAATAAAAATATGAACGAACAAATTTTTTTAATTATTAGATTTTATCTATTTAAACAATCTTAACTTTAGTTAACTAATATTATTTGTGGGTAAATATTATTTGTGGGTAAACAAGTTCCTAGTTATAAATTATGATTATAGTTTGTTATAAAAAAAATGATATTCAAGTGTCAAGTTTATTTTGTATAGTATATTATTTAAACTGTATAACATATGTTAAACATATGTGTCAACACTGCTGTAAGTCTGGATTGATGTCATAATTTTATGTAGGTACATTTTTAAAAGGGCTTCTAATCATAGCAATAATTAAGTACTAGTAGCTGATAATACCTACCTAAAGATTAAATTAAATGTAATTTGAGATTAATTCATCAAATTATACAAATTAATACTCTGGAAATATAATATTAGCAATGAATTTATGAATGTGATAAATGATAATATGCCTACCATGAGTTTGTTAGTCTAAATTTGACCAGCCCCATCAAAATAATTTAAAGTGTGGCTTTGACACTATACTCAATTTAAGATAATTCAAAAATTGATTTAAGTTACACACATATTAAATAATAATAAAAATATTAATTTCAAAATAAAATTATTCAATGATCAATTTTAATCAGATAAAGCATATTATATTTTAATACATTTTTCTTAAATATTTCAGTTGCTTATCAAAATGCTTATCTGATACGTTTAGAAAACTTTTATAAACATAATTTAATTCAGAAATTACTAACTAATAAATATCATTAAAACTAAATATATGTAGCGATTTTTTATACTATTATAATTTTATTACCTTTAGAATAGTTGTAATATGTCTTGAACATTTCTGAAAAATTAGAAAGATCAGTGTAAATAATTAACACCTTCAACATAGGGTCATTTCACAAGACAAACCTACCATCATAGTGCATGGAATTGTTTTCTGTATCACTGTTCTTGGACGTCAAGATATTAAACAAACAAACCACGAGGATTGCCAGTACAATATACAAACACATTTTTTTCGACAATAGTTTTTTCATGATGAATTTTCTTCGTCGATGATCACGTACAGTCCAGTCGCTTGACTTTAAATACATTGAACGTTCTTAAAGTCGAAATTTTCATAAACAGAAGTATACTACCGAAGGTTCACAGACTGAATCGATGAAATAAAAACGGTCAATCAATCAAATGCTTGAAAGATGATCAATTTTATTACCGAGTATCGTGAAACTGTGAAAGTTGAAAATTACTATATTATATTATTTCGTCGATGAAAAAGAACATTTAAATACATTATTTTAACAATAGTGAGATGAGTCTTTCGTAGAAAATTAATAAATACTAAAAGATTTCGTAGAAAAATAAAATATTAATAATAATCACTTATTGTGTGTAATTCGTGATAACAATATTGTACAGGATTTTGATAACATCGACAAAATACATAGAGTAATAATACATAAAATATGAAGTTGATTGTACATAATATTTATTAAATAAATACCTACTGTAATAATATAATTATTTATATTATTTTTATTTAAATATTTTTATAATTATTTATTTGTTTTTTATTTAGTTGTTTTTTTAGGTTGATCCATTTTCACGTTAAAAAAAATTTAAAAAAATATAAAACCGTAATAAAATTCCAGCGAAAATCTAAGTTATTACTGATGTTAACAGTTGGACAGAATGACAATATTTGTGTTCATTTACTTTGATATTTACTGTCATCATTTATAATCAATAATTGAATAATTAAATAATTATTATTTAGATACTCACCCTCTTTCATATTACCGACGGGCGACGACGTGAATACGATACCTAAGTGTTGATAACAAATAAAAATATAAAATTTATACCGATCAAGCGTCTGTTGTGGCGCTGGATTTCAGTTGCAGCCTATTGGCACATGAAAAATTGAAATGTCCGTAACAGCTCAGAAAAGATTGAAAATTTTTGAAAATAGTATCAAGTATAAGATTGATACAAATATATATAGTATAAATTGATTAAGTATCTACAGGTTATTCGTTTTTAATTACAACATAAAAATAGCTAAATGATAGTCAGGAATATCCAATTTGTAAAAATCTGACATTCAAACGCTCATAAAATTAAAATTTGTATTTCCGTAAATATTTTTCATAAACTGAACAACCTTATGAAGAATCTTGTACTAAATTTTAAATTTGATTTTAGATTTAAAGAAATATTGTTATGAATTTCTAACAAAATAATTTCACATTTTCTCTTCATTTTACGTATTTTTTATTCTGATAATACACATTGAAATTTTGTTATTTCTATCACACGATTTCTTATGCCTAATACATAAAACAATAATTTATATATTTTACAAATATATTTTATCAATATTACGATCACGCATAATTTATTAATTTATATAATTCGAAGATGTACTCGCTCTTTAGTCTAAACTATCTATGTCTATACTCATTCATAGATAGCTAGATGGTATATAGTATCCTAATCATGAGTTTTTGTAATACGATTTGAATAAATGTATGATATATAGAATAAATAATCCATATAGCTATTACATTGCAAGTCATCATTCAGCAG